AGGAGGACATGAACTCGGCGGGCGCCCGCCCGCCCGCAGCGAGGCGCGGGCCCAGTGCACTGGCCCCTTCCTGAGCCATGGCCCCCGAGCAGGGGAAGTGGCTACAGCCCCGTCAGGTCCACGATGGCCTTGATGAAGATGGCGTCGTCACGCACGTAGGAGCTCTTGGCCTCCATCTTGGAGATGGGGCAGAAGAGCGGGCAGCCGCTGGCGATGTTCATGTCACTGACCGGCCTCTGGAAAGAGGACGAGGTCACGTCGGGCCTGAAGGCATCGATCACGTGCTCCCGGTTGTTCTGGTCGAGCAGCATCAGAGTCACCTGGGAGGACAGCACCAGTGAGCCCCAGCCGGCCCGCGCAGGGAAGCCCCTCGGCTGCTGCGTGCTGGGACCACGGCGTCAGCCCCTGTCCGGCAACCTGCACCTGTTCTGGTGCTTTCTGTGCGCTGACGCCAGGGACCCGAGCTGACACCCAGCACCACAGCCCTGCGTTCACCTGTGCTTTTTCTTAACAACACCCGACTGATGATGTTCTCTCACCAACGGGCTCACACAGCCGCCCCCCAACCACCCCCTGGGCAGCACTCCTCAGGGAGAGGCGGGGCTCGGCTCGTGCTCTGCAATGTCACAGCGTCCGGCTGCCCTGGTCCCTGGAGCACCAGCCCCCACCCCAGTGGCTCCGCTTTCCAAGGGATACGGCTGCGCCCTCAGGTAACGGCTCCCTCCTTTTAAAACAGTCTCTAGGGGTCACTTCTGACTGCTGGTCCTGACGGCTGTGAGGCCAGTAGCCGGCCTGGCGGTGTGGCCGGAGAAACGGGGCCGCCCTAGCCCTCCACCGTGGTGACTCCAGAGCCTGAGTGCCTGCCCCACACCTGCCACCCTGAGGGCCTCCCAGGTGCCCCCAGCCTCGCGCACCTTCTGGTTGAAGGGCCACCGCAGGAGAGCGTCGTTGGGGCCCTTCATCAGCACGAAGAAGAGAGACAGGTGCGTCCCGCGCCCCGTGCCGTCCCCGTTCAGGTAGGCGCGCAAGCACATCTTGTAGCCGTACCTGCTCGTGTAGAAGGCTGCGGGGGAGGCACCGGTGAGCCCTGCCTGCAGGCTTGGCCTGCCCGCCACCGCCCCGGGCACACACTGGAAGGGGCCTTTTCCCTCCAGGTGTGCAAAGTTGGTTGCTAGTGAAAACAAGTTTCTTTCGGAAAGAAAAGTCACGATCAGCAGCAGCACTTTAAAACCCCTGCCTATTTGCCACACTGGCCGTGCTGTCAGCTGCGAGCCAGAGCTGCAGGGCCGCCAGGATGGCAGGTCAGCACCACCGGCTGGGGCTCTGGGCAAAGGGGCCGTGTCGGCCCAGGCCCAGCCCAGACACACCGGACATCCAACAGGGTGCGGAGAGAAGCAACTGCCAAACACCGTGACAGCTGCCTCTTAAGTAACAAGACACGACCCCGCGGGCAGGCGGCCTACAGACCGCATTTCTGACTGCTTTCCGGCGGCACCTCCGCAGCCCACCTCCCCTCAGGGCCCTGCAGCCCAAGTTCGCGCCCGAGATGCGCCAGGCAGGCCAGGCCAGGCAGCCTCTGCCAAAGCAGAGGCCCCTGCCCACCCGGACCCTCCCTTCCTGCCCCATCAAGTCACACAGGAGGAGCGCCTGCACCCACTCAGCCAGACTTGGGACATGCGACTCCAACAGCAGGTTCACTAGAATGAAGGGCACGTGTGCACAGCCCACCGACCGCGGGGTCCACCACCGGGGAGGCGTGAGCAGGGAAGACAACGGCCAGACGGCCACCGTGCACACAGTGAGGGCCTCACTGGGGGCGCCGGGGGAGGGACTGGCAGGAAGGCAGGGGCCCCCTCTGCAGAAGTGCCCTGAGAAAACCCCCCGAGCGCCCCCGACAGTCAGGGACGAGAGAGGCTGAGAAACGGCAGCACGTGAGCCTCGCCCAGCTGTCCTCCTCCTGGTCCCCATCACTCCGCCTGTGGCCCCACAGCCGGGGGGCGCTGAGGGGAGGCCGGCTCGCTGGGAGGGCCCGGCCTGGGGGACTTGTCACCCCTCACCCTCTCAGAGGCGCAGCTGCTCCTGGCCTCAGCAGGAGGCAGACTCTAGCCTGGGGGACACGGTGTCCGGGGCACCCAGCGTAGGGGGACAAGTTCCAGAATGGCACCTGGGGAGAAGATAGCAGGCGTGCGGCCCGCCACAGCTTCCTGGCGCTTCCTGGCGAAGTCAGAGATCTTCCAGATGAACACTCCATCGAAGGTGGATGCCTCCATCTCGTGGACCTTCTGCTCCAGGTCGGCCATCGCCAGGTCCTTCAGGCCAATGCTCCTCTCGAGCTGCTGCACCTGCAGCACCAGGGCCGTGAGGACATGCCTGCTGGGCAACGGGCCAGACAGGGCCTCCACGGAGACCACCTCCTGTCTCGCAGGACTGTGGGTGCGCCCACCTCCCCCCAAGTCTGCCAAAGGAAGGGAGGGCCTCTCCCAGCGCCCCAGCCTTCCCCTGGTTCAGTTTCTCTCAGATCAGCTCCACACCCACAAGACCCTCAACCTCACAAGGAAACTCGCTCACAGGACCCACACAAAGCCCGAGGCACATCCCCACCGCTACATCTGCCCCCAGGTTGGAGAAGAGGCTCCACTGGCAGCCTGTCTAGGCCCGAGTCGGGTCCCTCAGGAAACGGGGCTCAGAGAGGGGCTCCGCTCAGACACAAGAGGCACAGCAGAGCACGGAGAGCGTGCTGGAAACCCAGGCGCTGCTCTGAAGCCCCGAGCCCAGGCACCTGCCTGACGGGGCCCGGGCACCGCAGGCAAGCGCCCCCCGCCCCTGGGCACCAACCTTGTTACTCAGGGCTTCGATCCGGTCCTGGTCCAGCCGGTGCTGCCGACCACAGGCCTCAGCGGTCACGGCCACCCTCTCCACCTCCCGGTTCAGCACGCAGACGATGTTCTCAAAGGTAGCCGTCTTACGCTCCAGGGCCTCGCACCTCTGCAGTAGCTCTGCGGCCGCGGAGAGCCCCATCCCCGGGCCCAGCGTGATGGCGTCCCAGCCACCCTGCTCGCCCTGGCCGAGGAGGGGGCGGCCGTTTCCGGGGCGGGGCCCGGCCTCCAGGAGGGCGCCCAGCAGCATGGACAGGTGCTCGCGGAGATGCTGCGCCTCATGCTCCTGCTGCTGTTCGCCCTCCACCTGGGGAGGCAGGAAGGAGAGGCTCGCGACACTGTGCTGCGTTCAGCCCTGACCCAGGGACCCCTGAGGGGTCGTGGCCCTCAGCAGGCACCAAGCACCCAGAAAGCGAGGAGGATACGGGGAGTGACTTCTCCAGCACGTCTACCTGCCAGCATCTCGCGTGTCCCTGAACTCAATCGTGTTTGGAAAGCAAACCTCCCGACACTGCAGGTTGACAGGGAGGAACGTGCCATTACAAAAGCTGCCCACGGCTGGGGGCAAGGGGGAGGGGGTGAAACGCATCTTCCTCAAACAGTCCTTGTTGTACAGATCTGACTTGGCAGCCCAGTCTCTTCTAAGCCTCCACAACAAGTCTGAAAAAGTCAGAGAGTCTCAGAAAATCTGAAGGAAGAAAGTAAGGAACCTCAAGAGGCAAAGTGCTCAGAGCATCTGGGACCACCTGGGACCACTGGACGCTGACGTGGAAGGTAGGTCAACAAGGTCCATGACCTGCCCTCCGTGGGACCGGACACGTGACCAGCACCGCAATGCCCAGAAGCAGGAGGTCAAACACTGACCAAGGGAAAGGAGGGGCACTGGCCATATTCACCATCCGCAGAGAAAACAAAGCAAGACACTGTAGCCAAGTGTCAGGTCACCAAGTGACAACACCGCCAGGACTGCTGGCACTGGAAACGCCACTGGGGTATTGCTGGGGCAGAGGCCATGTGCCAGTCTTTCTGGGCAGCCCTCGGGGGCGATGAACAGTCCAGGGAAGGAGGGCAAGGGCCAGGTGGACAGGCGGCTGCCTGGTGAGCATGCACTCGGGAGGCGGGTCAAGGCCCTGGGAAGGTCAGTGCCCTGGAGGACGACCAGGCTGGGGACCGGCAGAGGAGCGAGGACAGAGACAGCCGGGACACACCACGCAGGAAGGCCACGCAGGCCAGAGGTGAGGCAGTGGGCCAGGAGGGTCTGGGACCTGTCTGCAGGCAGACTGAACGTGACATGGGACACACAGGGGAAGGGTCCAGAACGACCAATGGGCTTCTGGCTGGAGCAGCTGGGTGAGCTAAGGGGCTCTCTTGAGGGAGGTGGGAGGACTGGGCAGAGGAGGGCATCACTAGACCTCAGGGAGGCGCACGGTGTGCTGGGCGTCCTCTGCAGCTGAGGTGGCCAAGCCAGGCACCAGAGACCACCTGGACCACCTGGAGGATGAGTGGACAGAACCCACCCGAGGGCCAGGCTGGGGGTGGAGTGAAGACTGTGTCCAGGAGGATGCGGTCATGTCTGCCAACCTCTGCTCAGGAACCGGGAGCTCCCAGGGGACCGACTCAGCGCCCACCCAGCCCCAAGAGCCCCACCAGAACCAGACTCACCATCTCGGGGCAGCCAACAGCGTGGAATCTGCACGGGACTCGGCATTTGCCACATGTCCTGACGTGGTCCTGAAACTAAAGGGCCTGATGTCAACCGCCATCACTTCTCTGTTCCAGTCACTCACCCCTCCTAAAACCCAACCACCTGTTCCCAAAGCAGCGGTGCACACGCACACGCTCACGCATGTAACATATATGCACGTGCTTGGGTGCGCGCGTGTGGTTCGAAGCGGGCTGACAGCCCGGGCATCTGCAGACTGAGAGCCTCACACATGCAGGCCATTTCAAATGCCCTTGGAGACCCTGTCCCGTGCCTGTCCCAGAGAGGAACCTGCGTCTCATCCCTCACAGGTGAGTTTGACACCTGGGGCCCTGGGGCTGCCAGCCTGGGCCTCCAACCAAGCCCGGCATGAGGAGCGGCGTGACGCGGGGGCAGACACCCACCACGGGCCTGCTGGCCCACGACACCAAGACCAACAGAGCAGAACACGAGACCAGATGGCAGCCAGCCACACGGACACTTGGTTCTGACCCGGTCACACCATGGCCAGTGCAGACAGACAGACACTGTCAGAAGTAGGGGGAAGCGGACGAGCAGCCACTGGCCTCTACCTGCCAAGGATGTCAAATGTGAGAAAATCAGACCTACACTCGCAGGAAAGACAGGCTCAACTCTGGGTCAAAATCCAGAAACAATGAAAAAAATCTTGAACCGTTCCCCATAACAAAACAGAAACGAAGCAAAAATACCACTCAGTAAAATACAAGGCTGAACCCCCGACACACACAGAGCTCCAAGCAGAGAGAAAAAAGAGGCCGGGAGCCATGCCAACAAGCAGGCAGGGGCACGAATGGGTCCCGGCAGGAGAGACGGATGAAATTTAGGCCAGAAAGCCCTCAGTCACAGGCACACCTTGAGAAACGCCCACGGAGCCCAGCCTGGACACCGGGCGCGCCCACGTGTGGGGGCCCGCGGTGGGTCGGGCACGGCGTCTCCCTGCCGACGCACGGGTCCCGGAGCCCCGAGCTCCACTCGGGCCGCGCGCCTCCCCAACTGCTCAGACGCGCCCTTTTCCTACTCTTCACCGTGGAGGGCTGTAACCATCTGACAACCTACCCGACAATTACTCTTTAAGGAGCAATCTTAAGAGCTCAAAACAAAAGGAAAGAAACGAGCTTCGTCGGATGCTGACAGCTGCCTCTCCTGAGAAAAGGCCGCTGGGCTGGGCTTCAAACAGGCTGCATGAGGAACATCCTCCCAGAGCGCCAAGGGCTGGAGGGACACCGGTCACCACGGAATGAACTCCTGGAGAGTCAAGAGTGACGCAGGGGCCATGCCCGTGAAGCTATCACCCAGCGGGACGCTAGATGCGCCCCACGCCACCACCACAGATGGACGTCCTGCAGCACCAATGGCTACACACACGCGCGCGCGCGCGCTAACAAACTTGGCAGGGACCAGACTCCAGCTCCCGGAGGCCAAGCATTTCAGGCGGGAGGCGGTGCCAGGCGAGGGGGTGGGGGCAGGAAGAGGCGAAGGGAACCCCGCCACCACCCCCTCTCCCCAGCTCGGCCACCTTTCACCCACGGGTGACTCCTATGACACCTCCCCCCAAACTGCTGGAGCCGTGGGCCATCCTGTAGGTGCCTCATCGGTCTGCAGGGACCACTCACTCTCTCACGCAAGATCTTCTTCTTGCCGCAGCCATCGCAGGTCAAGGGGAACTTGGGGCAGACCTGGTGGTGAGCCTGCAAGAGACACGTGGGTGTGTTGGAGCCCGAGGCGGCCGTGTGATGCGAGGGCCAGCGCCCATCCCCGGTGCTCTGAGACGGCTTGGCACCGGGGGGCTGCAGGTTGAGGGCATTCCCTCATCTGGCAGGGCCCTGGGACCTTGCCGCTCCACTCTCGCACAGCAGAGCCAGGCAGACGGGGAGCGCCGGCCTGGCCTGAGGAAGGAACCTCAGGAGGCACAGTGTCAGTGGTGGGGCACCTGAGCAGCCAAGGTCTCCAGGAGGGGCCTCATGAGGTGCGCAGGGCGGGCTCCCTGATGGGCTGGGCCCAGCTCTCTCCAGATCTGACGCTTCACGGGTGTAAAAGACACCTCGGGACCCAACTGGCCAAGTGCAGAATGACCCAGCTTCTTCAACAGATTAAAGAAAAGGAAAAAAAGACACCCACGGGGAACCACTGAAGATGGAGATCTGCAGACAGTGGGGGAGCAGTGGGTGTCTGGGTCCTGATGCACCAAGTCAACAGACAGATGCCAAAAACGTGGGCACCACGTGAGCCGCCACCTCAGGAAGCACATGAAATTCCAGGCGTGACAGTAACATGTGACAGCTCCACGGATGTACACCCCACCCACAATGCCTGAGAAACACACTCTGAAGAGTTTTCGGATGAAGCCTCACGTCTGGGGCTGGTTCTGTGTGAGCCGAGGGAGGCCCGAGGCAGCCAGGCACATGGCGAAGGCGGCATGAGAGAGAAAGCGTGATGTGGGTGACATGGCCTTGTGCCGCCACCCACTGCGCGACAGCTCCTCCAACACCGACAGCCTCGGAGAGTGGCTGGCCCTGCCCTCGGCCCAACCCAGCTCCCCTGGGGGCAGGCCGAGGCCCCTGGCCCTCACCCTCACGTCGGCCGAGCAGCAGGGCGCCCTGCAGTGCCTGCAGGTGAGGCTCCTCTCCGGACACTCGTGCTCCAGGTGCTGCTCCTTCTCGCCAAGACGGACCAGGCCCTTGCACGCTGGGCACTCGGTCAGCATGAATGGGCAGTGGCCCTCGTGGCAGCTCTGGCAACAAAAGGAGCAAGGCATTGACAGAGCGCACGCAGGACTCAGGCCACCGCTGAGCCTGCAAGGCCCCGGGTTCATCCTCAGTGCTGGATTGCGGGTCCCCAGTCAGCCACGTGCCGCCCCCACTCCAGTACCCCCGCTCTGGGTCAGGGATCAGGGCCACATCCACTTGGGTGCACCCCACCCACAGGACACACAGGGGACAGTGAAGGGGCCACCAGAGGGTGGGGACGAGCTGCAGAGGCGAGAGCAGAGGGAGCAGGTTCTAAGTGGACAGAGGGCAGAGGAGTGACACCGTGGGGGCCGCAGTGAGAAGCAGAAGGAAGCTAAGGAGCCTCGGGTCCCCACGCCAGGCTGAGAGTGCTGAGCCAGGGGGAGCCCAGCCCTCCTGGAGCTGAGGCGGGCAGGGCACACCTCAGGAGGCAGGGTCCCAAGCCTGGGGCTCTCTGGGACGGTCGGGCAAGGCCTGGGAGGGAGGAGCGCGAGGGTGCTGACTCCTCCCAGCCACGGGCTGATGCTCAGCTTGGGAGGCTTAGCTCGCGAGTCGGGGATACAGACCTAGATCCGAATGCAGCCACGTCCGTGGCTGCTGCTTCACTGCCCAGAGCTGGCAATGCACTGCTTCTGCGGCCCTGAGTGGCCAGTGCATGAGCGGGGAAGGTGGGAGGTGGCGGGCTAGGAGGTGAGAAAGGGTGGGGCTTGGATACGCAGGAGCCAAGGGCCAGGGAGCGAGGGGACCAAAGTTCTACAACCCTCCGGAAACAGAGGGCGCGGTGGAGAGCGAGGAACAGGAGACGAAGGTCTGTTTGTGGCCTGGCCCCCGGGACCCCACCAACACTCAGCCTGAGCACAGCCTCCCTGGAGCCCCGGGGCACCCACAATCTCCCAGCAGACAGGGCTCTGGCCTGGCCACACTGAGTACGTAACAGATACCAACGCGAACCAGAGAGGAGTCTCAAAAATGGCCATGGCTTGTGGAGCCAAAACTATACTTGGCTACATGGACCTGATTAAAGCATACGAAGGCGCTGGCGGGTGAGCGGCGGGCAGCTGAACAAAGACTGGAAAGTGAGGGGCGTGGGCCACCCCAACCACCCAGCCCGCACCGCTCACGTTCACCCTGCGCATCTGACACCCAGGACGCTCCAGTTGCCCCGGGTTTGGACATGGGGCAGGATGAGCCCCTCAGCTCCCACTCCCGCCAGGTCGCTTAGAGCAGAGACATCAGTATTTATTCAACCAGAGTTCAAACTAAACGCCTAAGCATTTTCACTCTGGTTCCCTGGGACGTGTGGGGGACCCAGCACCCGACTCTGCTCATCCTGCAGCTGCAATTCCCCATAACCTGGCCCTCCCTTCCTCCTTCCCTCCCAGCCGGCCAGGCCACCACCCCTGAAGCCCCAAAGCCCGGAAGAGAGGCCCGTCCCCCTGCTGCTCCTTCCACTGCAGCCTGGCTCCTCTCTCCCAGAAGAGCAGCCCTGGGGCTGCTATGACGACTGGGCAGCTTCTCCATAAACAACCTTTAACTGAACTGGAGTTTTTAATCACCGAGTTCTTAGAAACACTAGACATCACTGCAGAGGAAAAACTTATTCAAAGACTAAGCAGGATTTTCCCCATCTTTCCACACTTTCAACAGCTCGGCCCCAGCACCAGCCTTACCCAGCACCGCCCCAATTATGAGCAACCCAAAGGACGGACGTGCCGGCTCAGAGCTGAGAGTGGGGCCACCATCATGTCAAGGTGGCCACTCTCACCCCAGCCGGTAACCTTTACAGCCGGGAGAGGTTTATCAACACATCAGGGGCTGCGGCAGCCGGAGCAGTGCCGCCCCCACGTGACCAGAGCGCCCTCCCAGGGACTTTCCTGAGCTCAGGCGCAGCCAGGGACTTTCCAGCCTGCGTGCCTGCACCCCCCCACCAAGAACCACAGAGCCGCCACTAGCACCACCAGCCTGGAGGCGGCAGGAATGCTGGAGGAATCGGGGGGGGGGTCACCCCACCCATCCCCAGGGGTCTTTCAGTCCCATTGACAGCCTGAGGGGCTCCCCACCCTCCCATGAGAGACCCTACCCCAGGTCCGCCCTCCGTTCAACGTCACCTGCCTGCCCCTGGGCAGCACGGTGGCCCCTGGGCCATCAAGGCCTCTGTCCACGGACTCAGACGCCCCGCTCCCAGGAAGGGAATGGAAAGGGCGCAGGAGCCCAGAGCTGCTCCGCTTCCAGGCCCCAGCGCCTATCAGAGGAAAGCACAGGTTCCCATCCAGCCCACAGAGGCTCCTCCCAGACACAGCCTCAGGTTCTCCAGCCAAAATGCAGCTGAGAGCCGAGGTGGTCAAGGGACGCTCAGTGCACACGGCTGGGAGCACAAAGGGAGACGCCTGCCAGGAACCCAGGACCCCAACTGCAGACCCACAGGCCCTCCCCTGGGGTCAGGACTCAGTCACAGGCCAGTGCCCACCCCACGGCAGGGAGCCTTCTCCGTGGCTGGGGCAGCTCTGGGCGTAGGAGAGCTGGGGTCCCACACAAACAGCCCTGCCAGCCTTGCCAACCGGGGCTGCACTGGACGGCAAGGAAGCCTCCGCACTGTAAGGGCCCCATTCCTCTGAACACAGGCCCCCAGCCCCGAGGGCCCCACTCCACTTCCGTCTCCACTGGGTTTGACTCCTCTACGCCCTCACAGGGGTGGGCCCCCACCAGGACCGGGTCCTTCTGTGTCAGGCCCCCGTTCCCGCTCAGCATGACGTCCTCCAGGTCCGTCCTCACTGTAG